TTAAGTTAATAATTTTATTTTCTGCTTCCCTGCCAGTGGGCACCATGGCATAGCAAGGACTGGTTGCAGAAGGCTGGGGCGGGGAACAAGGTTTTCTTAATATATATGCATTAAACCTGTTTTCAAAGTTAATTTTTTCACCCATTCTTTTGCTAGAGCTGCGGCTGTGCCTTCCCCTGTGTGTGTCCTTTGCTGCTCAGCGGGTGCTGGCTGGACTACAATGCTGCTGCACCCAAGGGAGGGAGCCCCGAGGGGCCCCCGCTGCACGGGGTGAGCGGAGGGGACAGCACGCGGTGGAGGACGCAGCTCTGACCTGCTGGAGAGGATGGGGTGGGACAAGGCAGCAGCCCCCCATGCTCAGCAGCATCCTCCTCCTTGCCCCAAGTGGCATCCAAACCCATTTTCTGGGTTGCTCCCTCCAAGCAAACCAGACCTGTAAAGCATTAATAGCACCAGCACCGCCAACCTCACGACATAAGCTTGGCCAACCCCTCCAACATGTATTTCTAGCCCCGCTCATCTGGGGAGCGCAGACGATGCCTTGAGCCTGGTGTAGCACAGGACGGGCTTTCGGCACCCTCCTGGGTGGTGGATCTCCTCTGGGTCACCCTTTTCTGCCTGGCTGGCTCCTTTGACATTAGGCAGATTGCCAAAAGCCCTGTGTTTAAATAGTGCTCCTTGAGAGTAATTGCTGGCTCTGGCAGACAGGAGCAAAGCAATTTGATCGCTGCAGTATATTTTTGGGGGCAAAGGGGATCATGGACAGTAATTGCTCTTAATTGCTTAACACTTTGAAGATTGTTTCTGCAGCTGTTGCAGCTGGTCAAGCGAAATTGGGATTTTTCTCACTCTATTACATGCACAAAGGACCACCGGTACGCTGCGTTTTGTGCACGGTCTTCCATTCTCCCTCCATTACCAGGAGCGCAGTAACGCAGGGGACCTGCACTTCCCCAGGGTGTCTCCTCCCTCGGCTCGCCTGCAGTCCCGTCCAACGGGCCTGGTCACTGCTGTTTGCTCCCAAATGCTACATTTACTCATGTCCTAGCTGTCGTTAGGAGTGACGTATAGAGCGCTCCACAAGAGTAATGTAAAAACTCTGATTTTGCAAATGGAGGCCTGAAGGCGGGTGGCAGAGGAGATGCTGGTGTCTTGGCTGGGGGGTGGAGGAACGTGTTGCTATTGAATAGTATAGAGCACTCCACAAGAGTAATGTAAAAACAACTCTCTGATTTTGCAAATGGAAGCCTGAAGGCGGGTGGCAGAGGAGATGCTGGTGTCTTGGCTGGGAGGTGGAGGAACGTGTTGCTATTGAATATTGCCGAGTCCTTGCGCGGCCACACTGACAGGCAGGTACACGTGCAGAAGAGAGGCGCCTGGACCTGCCTTCCAGCCCTGCTGCTCTGTTGCATCACGCCGAATGTGCTCCCCGTTTTGGGTTCTCTCCAGTGGAGGTCACCGAGATGCCGGCTGTTTCACGAATGCTTTCGCACACCCCTGACACCTTCGTGCTTCTGGAGGGTGATGAGAAAGCAAAGCTGCATCATCCCATCACCTGCAAGGTGATGCAGTCTCGTGCTAAACCACAGTTTGCCTCCCACATGTGCAAACATTTCTGGCCGATGCAGGTTCAGCCGACATTTCACTGCTTCAGAGGAATCGCTGCTTTTCCATGCTGAATTCTTAGGACAGTCACATTTTGCTTGGAAAATAATTGCAAGTGTATTACCCGACAGCTTTCTGAAAAACACATTGAAGATCTCTGGGTGATGGATTTGTTTTCTGTTTGTTTCTCTGGGATTTCTTCACTAAAATTTAGTGTTAACTGGTTATTTTTAAATCCAAGCATTGTTCTGCATGTTTGATTACTCCTGTGTGTAGACTGATGGAGAAGTTATTGAGTCCCCGTCATTTACTGGAGGGGAATGCTTCTACTTTTAATTCTGTGTCTCTTTACGGGTGGATGAATGGCAAGCTAATAGTCGTGTTGAAATTTGAATGTCAGAAAATAAGGGAGAAACTTGAGACTTGCTCGTCATATTTAACCTCCTGCATTACATACTCTATCTTGAGTCTTTAAACATGCCTTTACATCCCATCCATGCATATTTTATAAAACTAAGTGATTGTGATTTCATCCTTTGTAGGAAGCAATAGAAAAGACTCTGCCTTGTTAAATAGGCTAAACATGAATTCATTTGACAATACCTTATTTTTCTGATTGGTCTTAATGTTGTGCTGGCTCTTGATTACCCATCTACTAAGAGATAATCCTTCAAGGAATTAGAAGAAACAACACGCTGGACTGATTTCCTGTTAATGCTCTTAGTTGCAGTAAATAGAGTGTCTGAAGCAATTGTAGGTTTATTTGCTATGAACATGAAAAATCCACTTAATAGGAAGGTCATCTATTTGTTAAAGGTCTTTGGTGGGACAGATGGCTGCTTCACTAGGGACATAAATGAAGGTTCCCAAAGAACCTTCTGCCCTCAGGGTCTGAGTGCCACGGGATGGACTTGCTGCAGGTTGGGACGTGAGCGAACTCAGCGGAGGCGGCTGCTTCTGAACATGTGTGCACGACCGAGTGTGGCCTTTGCCTGCGGCACGTGGACACGAGTGGCTGAGATGCATCAGGGCATCAGCCAAGCGATGACTTCCAGCCTTGCTGGAGGATGGAAAGTCTGCTGAGACCTTTTGGTCACGGTGTCTCGCAGCTCATTTCATGTTGACGCCAAGAGAACAAAGTCCGGGGCCTTTCTCGGGCCTGTTCACTGCTCCACAGTTGTGGTTATCGCAAGGATGGAGCATCACGCTGAGCTCGTAGGGCAAAGAGACCTCACGCTTCGTGGCCGTGGAGGATGTCTGCTGGACTGCAGCCCCTGAGCTGTCACCTGTGGACCTGTTCACGTGCATTTTTGCATGTCAGCAACCTTGCCAGGCCACGTGGGAACAAGCAACGTCTTTCTGGGGCCATGGTTTACTCCCCTCTACACTGAGGACAGCGATGCCGGGTGCGACTTGGCCATTTCCCATGTAATAGTTCTCCTTGCTCCCGTTGTTACCAGCAGAAATGGTTATAAATGCCTTGTAAAAACAGTTAGGTTTTTTAATTTGTAATGACAATTTAGGCTTTATTTAGGAGAAAGAGGTATGGTCTTTCCTTGCATAAGTGCCTTCTTTGAATTAAATTTTTATTGATCTCTCTGGAACTGGCTTGTGGATACATATATAACCAATGCCCTTTGCACAATGCCCAACACTCGTTCTCTCTCAGGTTCTTACAATATGTGCATTTCAAGATAGTTTGTCCAGATATTCCAGAAATCTAGGAAAGCTGTCTAGCATAAAGCCATCTGAATTATTTAACTACAGCACGGAAAGACGGTATTGCACCTTTAGTGCTAGAGGCAAGCTTGCTGGAAAATGACATTTTATTTACATCATGGTTTTTACATTTTTAAAATAACTATTCTGATCTCAAATCAGGACAAAACCTAACAAATGCCCCAAACTACAAAAACAGGTGATGCTGGGGATCTTCCAGGACTGGCAGTTTCATTCAGCCTTGCGGTTGAACCCAGCAGCTTTGGGAGCACCTGAGGGCAGAGCTCGACGCCCCTATTTCACCGAGACACTGAGAAACTAAAGAACTGAGCAGCCAGTTTCTGTCACACTATTGCCTTGGGAATATTCTTTAAAAAAAAAAAAACTTTTCTTTAAAACTACCTTGTTCACTTCTTATTTGCTTTGCCAGCCTGTGGCCAGTTGCAAAACTTCGAGCAGAGCTTGTGGACTTTGCTGGCCAGAGGCGAGTGTGGTCGAGGCTGGATAGGAGGGACGGGCATGCTCTGAATTTGCTCTGGAGGCATGAAATCGTTTTTAAAAGTGTTCAGAAAGATCGAACAGCAGAACAGGAGTAAGGTGGGAATTTTTTGCTACATGTTTGTGCACCAGCTAATAAATGGGGCTCTGAGTTTTTGATGTGGGCTCCTGTATTCTGCAGCAATCCGAGCGAGAACAGCACGAGTAGCAGGATTACCCCAAGGGAGGACGTCTCCCCGCTGTGCTGTCCCTTACTCGCGTCGCCCTGCGCTGGGCCTGCTAAACCCACCGCTCAGAGGTGAAAAAGGGCGGCTGATACAGGCAGGAGGCTCCTTGTGGTGCCGGGAGAGCGGATTGAGCAGGGTCGGGAAAATTTAGGGAACACAGATGGGATAAAAGGTGGCGAGCCTGGAAGGGATCCCAGAAACAGGGGGTGTTACAACAACTGTGCAAAATGATAATGCGGAGCAGACTGCAAAATAGGTGAAACTGGGATTATTAGGCCTGTTTGGCATATGTGTTTGTAACGATTGCCTGGTGTCCTGGGTACGCGTCTTTAATTTAAGAGAAATAACTTCTTGGTGAGGACAAATAGGGAGGGAAGAACCCAGGTATGGCACGTCTTTCTCTGAATTCCCTTTCCATGTGATAAAAAGAAGATCTCAAAAGATTTTATTAACTTGTAAACTGTGATTTAAGGGAATTTTAAACAGCATGTGAAAGAAAAATAATGAACAAATGTTTTCAAGTGGGAGAAATCTGTCCCCGCCATATGTTTCACTGAGTCATCCCTTCTGCAGGAGGAGATCTTGCAATTGTTTCAACTATTCCAGTCACTAATCCGTTTTATTTAGTAGCAGCATCCCTGTAAACTCAGCCCCTGACCCTACAACGCGTTAATACCACGTGCTGGACATAGACCTAATCCCTCTAATGCCGACACACGTTTTGCTCTGGGCACAGGTTAAATTCTCCCTGCGTGTCTTGCCATTGAGCAAAGGCCAAACTTGGCCGTGGGTTTCCACTTGCCAGCTAGATGATGTGGTGCTCTGCGCTCACCAGGAGATTGTAGAAACCTCAAAACCCACCGCTTCTTTCTCCTTAATTTATACACGGGCCCTTTGGATCGCGGCAGAGCGCTGTGCTGACGGTGTTGGGCGGTTGCGTTGCAGGTGTGGCTGTGCGGCGGCAGCATGGAGGTCCTGCCCTGCTCCAGGGTGGCTCACATCGAGCGCAAGAAGAAGCCCTACAACAACAACATCGGTTTCTACACCAAGCGCAACGCCCTGCGGGTGGCTGAGGTGTGGATGGACGACTACAAATCGCACGTCTACATCGCGTGGAACCTGCCGCTGGAGGTACGGCCATTGCACCCTATCCTAAGTCTTCACTTTATTGGGTTAAAGACTTGACTTATAGAGCATTTACTGCCCCCAGGTGAAGGAGAGCCTTAAATACCCAGGGTCACATCCCCAGCTGTGGAAGTCAGCAGAGCTCCCTCGGCTTTGACAAAGGTGCTGCAAAACCTGCAGCTTTTGGAGGAGTTCCTACGATTCACATCAGCCTTTTTATTTTCATTCCTAAAAATTAAACCTGTGTTATAGTGTTTATCTCCCCGTTGAGTGTTTACACAGCGTGAGTTTATGTCATTACACTGCTCCGCAGATGGAATCTGTCTGTAAAATCGGTTGGCAGAAGATTATTAATATCAGCATCATTAGTGCATGAGGTTTTTTCCTGCAGCTCGGGCAGGTCCCTGTCACATGCAGCCCGACTCGGGTTTCCCAGCTCGCAGATGCTGTCGCTGCCCAGAGCTCACTGCGGACAGCGTGTGGTCCAGGTGCCTGGGCCGTTGGCTTTCCCAGCGTTGGGAAAGTCGAGACCATCAGCGCTTAGAAACCGTGTTCAGAGGTGAACGATTGGAGCTCGGTGGCTCACAGAAGGAGATCCCCTCCCAGCAGCACCACGTGCAAGTGCTCCAGAAACACTCTCTTTAAATAGCTTTGATGGTTATATTTATTTCTGCATAGAAATGGTTACATTTTCTTAAATCTGACACTTTATTTTTCATGTAAATCCTGCCGTGTCGCAGCGTGGTGCGTCTTTGGAAAACAGTGGGGTCCCGCCAGAAAGATAGGCTGACTGTGCCCAGGGGACGGGCATGGTCACATCCTGCTCGTGGACCTCTCTAGGTGATCCCCTGCACTTCTGTGTAAAGCTCTATAGGCTCCAGGAGGACTTAGGTAGGTCCAAGGCTGCTGCTTGGGCTGTGGTCTCCGTGCAGGTTATGTCTAATCGTGAAACCCAAGCACATCTCCTGCCTCCCAGCTCTGAACGCTGCCTGGAGGGCACTGGGAGCACCCCCGGCTGGGCCAGTCCCCCCATCTCCTACCTCTGGTCCTGCCAGAAGGAGAAGAAGGGGTGGTGGGGAGGGGGAGGCAGCAAAGCTCTCCAGGTGATGGGTGGGGTGAGGATTCGGGGTGCCCCGCAGAGCCCCCCAACACCCACGCCACTTGCAGTGTACTTAAGCACGAGCGCTGGGCTGCTCTGCTCAAGCGCGAGATAAAACCGTTGCCACGAGAGGCCAGACCCCATGTGAGCAGTTATTTACAACCACCCTTTTGGTGCTAAAAATAAAGACGAAATATTCATACCTTGCAGATCACACCCCTGCAAAGAGCTGCTGCGGTCCTGGTCCTGCTGCGGCAACGTCCCCAGCTGGCAGCACTGTGCTCCGGGGCATTTTGAAAAACATTAAAACAGAAAAACATGAGCCGCAGCTGCTTTCTGAGGAAAGGTTACATCTGGGGAGAGTTACTGGCATTTAGAGCCATGGTAGTCGCAATTCGGTGCTGCATTAGAGAATAACAGGTACCTGGGAAGGGTTGATGAGCTGCCCGTGCTGCCAGTTTGTCGTCCTGGGGGGGGTGGAGAGTCCTGGGTTAGTTTGTTATTGAGAAATAGATGAATAGAGATGGAAAGAAATGCAGTTTATCCAGCGAGCGGCAGGAGGGCACTGGCTGTGACGGGCACCGCTCCAAGCGTTCGGAGAGGCAGAGAGTTGCCTGCAGGACTGAGTGATTTCAGGTCTCTCTTAAAAATAGGTTGCAAGATCCAAACGCCCATAGGCAGGGATCATGAATTACTGCCGGTTCAGCCCCGATCCTCGGGCTGATTCCTTTTTAGAGGTGGGGCACCACGCTCCTGCTCAGGAACAGCTTTGGAGCACAGCAAAAAGGGATTAAAATTCATCAGGAAGCCACAGGTCCTGTACAGCTCAGAAAAGGCAGCATCGCAGGAATCGGCGGTGGGGGTGGGTCTGGGGAAACAGATCTGGGTTACCCTAAAAACAATTTGAGATTTTTATATAGGTCTTAGCAGTAAAATCGAGATTTAATTTTAGAGAAGCCTTGTTTGACAGGTGGTGGTGTGCAGGAGGTTATGGGTATACACTGAATTATTTTGCGATGCCACTATATTCAAAACCAAGCCAAACCTCATGAACTGAATATTTCAGGTGCTGACTGGTTTGTGGTCCCGCTCTGCTCTGTGTCCCATCTCGCCCACTCAGATTTCCGCCTGTCCTACCTGTCTACGCTGAATCATCTTTGTTTTTACCTGTGAGCTACCAGTCGCACATTAAAATGGTGTCTTCTCTAAAGCAGAGTGAATAATTCATTAGAAGATCATTACAAGTGTTGTAATGGAAAATTGCTTTCCCAGCTGTATTTAATGATCACTGCAAAAGACAAGAGCAGGAGCTAAAATAGAGTAGAAACCCAGACACCTGTAGGAAGGAGCCTTTGGTTTCCTTCACCTGGCTGCTGCCTTAGTTCCCCAAATTCTGTAATGGAATAAAAGGTTAAAGAGGGGCAGCTCTCTTCAGCCCCTGCTCCTGGCTCCTGTCAGATTATTCCTCCAGGGACTGATATCATAGCTTTGTCTGCTTTTAAATGGGCTCGAGCAGTGGGGTTCCTCGATGTCTCCAGGGAGACTATTGCACTGCGTAATTGTCCAAGTAGTCAAGAGGTTTTTCTGAGGTTCAGCCTCAACTTCTCTTCTCAGGTAATTTTTATCCTTTATTCTTAGCTTTTTGCCTTTCTAAATCTTAAACCTTTCTCTTTTTTCTTCTTTTCTTGTCCCCCCTTATTTTATACCTTTTAACTGTGCGTTCCTCTGCATTGGACTCGATGATCTTAGAGGTCTTTTCCAACCCTCTGAGTAGGGTCACCCACCCTCGTGTGTAGGGGGAAGGGTTTTGGTGCTCAGTGCACAGACAGGGGTTTGCATTTCCAGGATGCCGCACGTGACCATCTTTTAATGCACATTTACTGTTAAGCTCTTCTGGAAGTCCTGTACATCAGTACCTAAACGGGAAGTGAGATCTTTTAAAAATACTTTGTCGTTGTGCCCGTTGACAAATTCAGTCTTTTTCAGATGCATCCAAAGCCCGGGGGAGTTGGTTGGAAGATTCACCTCTGTTTACACTGCACTTCTCGTATTTCCTTCAAAACCTTTTCTTCTCCATTTAGGTTCTCTTTTCTAAATTACTCCCCAGGACCAAAATGTGGCCAGCATCAGTCTGGTGGCCACTGCAAGGATGCCTTCAAAACCTATGAGAGAAGTGCGCGTCTCCTCCTCGCTGTGGCTGTGAAACCCAAGCCTTCCTTCTGCCTTCTGTGAGGGTGATTCCAGCTTGGACACACATGCTCAAATTCCCTGGCAGGGCCTCTGCGTGGAGTTACTCAGCTGTTGGATTTTCCAGGCGGCTTGGAAGTGATATCAAACATCAGTGAAATACGCTCTTTTACAATGTTTTTTAAGAGTATCCGTTCAGTGACGTGCAGTGTCTTTATTTTTCAGAATCCAGGTATTGACATTGGGGATGTTTCCGAGAGAAAAGCGTTAAGGAAGAGCTTGAAGTGTAAAAATTTCCAGTGGTACCTGGACCACGTTTATCCGGAAATGAGAAGATATAACAACACCGTTGCTTATGGCGAGGTAATTAAGGCTGAGCAGTCCCTTAGATCAGACTGGTAATATTTACAGCTGGTGAGTCTCTGATGAGTAATAGCCTCAAAGGAGAGGAATGCAAATTAAAACCTACTATTTGTGTATAATTATATATATTTGTCTAAATCTGTTCACAGTTTCTTCTGAAAACCTATTCTGAGATTTATTTCTGATCTTGGAAACCATATACAGGAAAATATTTTAATACCTCATTTATTGAAATGACAGAAAATTATCTATATTACCCATTAACTCCAAGGATTAAGCAGCTGTATGTATATTTTTAATACATAGTCATTTTATAAAATCCTTTGACTTAAACTCAGCCTAATTCCTTACAAGGTCTCTGTAGGGTACAGTGTGTTGTCACAACAGCTTAAGGACGAGATAAAGTGAGGAGACTTAATTCAATCTCTGCTGGCTTTGAGACTGTACTGGGAATATAAAAACAGGCATTTATGGGAACTAGTAATACCCTGTTGCAATAGGTCTCACGGAACAGTGGCAGTCTGAGAAGCCTTCCTGAAGCACAGCCCGAGCACCCCAGATGGGCATTAATTTTAAGAAAGATTTGTTATCAGAGTTACTTAATGCCTTCAAGCTAACACCCCCCCCCAAAGGAGTATTTTCAAAGGCATTATTGCAGGTGCCCTACATGGGGAGCCTGGAGAGAGGCCACCTCTGCGATAACAGACCTGGCGGCTGGGGTTCAGCGGCCTTTTGGCTTTGTGGCACGAACCCAGCGCTTCCATGCTCCCTCCGAAGCGTGTCCTTCAGTACTTGATGGCTGGTTCGCCATCTCTGCATCTCCTCCTGCATCCCCATGATGATTCGAAGCAGCTCCTTGTGCTAGCTGGACTTTTTTCCCTGCTTTGTTGAGCACTTTGAGATTTCAATGAAATACAAGCAATTCTGCATTGATTTCAGGCTCCTGGCAACATGCTGACGGCAGTCTAAAAATATGTTTGTTACTACCACACATGACCAAATACAAAAAGAAAACTGTGTTCAGGGAAGTTGGCTCCTTTGAATGGTGATTATTATATAAAAGCAGTCATCATTAGGCCCTGTATTTAAGGAAAACATATGGCGCACTAAACCTTTCTCTGCCTGATTATGCCTAGTGATATAGCACCGTATATTCTTTCTATAGCAAGAGAGGCTAGAGCCATTGCTGCACATCAGTTTATTGCTTATCTCCGAAGAGACAGGGCCGTATAACTCCGCGCTTTTTATTTCTTACAGCTTCGAAACAACAAAGCGAAAGACGTCTGCCTTGACCAGGGCCCGCAGGAGAACCACACAGCGATATTGTACCCGTGCCACGGCTGGGGACCGCAGGTGAGGAGTTACTGTGCTGGGACCGCGCGCGCCGCGAGCAGGCGGTGCCCGGCAGAGGCTGGATGGGCAGCGGACAGAGTATGGATGTGCGACGTGTCTGTTGGCTTCTCGCTCAGATGTATAAGGCCCAGCTTCTTGTTAAAAATACCTCAGATATAAAGGCATTTTCCCAGCTACTCTTAGAGTAGCTATTTTCTGGATTACCATAATCATGCCAGAGCTGCAAGTAAAAGCATAATTTGAAAAAATCTTCCAGACGAGGGTAAATAATGCTAAAAGCGAATAGCCAGTGAGCAGAGCAGAGCGTACACAAGCAGAGCATTTTAAGACATTTCCTTTCTCTTTCACCCAGCAGAGTAAAAACTACTGGTTTTTACTAACTGGGTAAAGAAAATAAACAGTACTTTTTAACGGATGATAATTAGCCATTTCAGCTTGGCTGGGATTTACCATAGCGTTAGTTTTCTAGCACTCCTTTTGCCTCTCCACAAGTTTTGGGCAAAACAACATCTTCTAATCCTAATTTTAAGCTTATTCTAGATTAAAAATCATCATTCCAAGATTCACTCTAGATCTCGTATCTTTTAGAGGATTCGTGGATGTGTCCAATACTGAAAGTTAGTGATGATGAACTAATTCAGCCTCTTCTGTAGTTTTATCTCTTACCATGTTTTAAGAAGAAGCAGCACGGGAATGCTGCTGGTTCAGTCGCCATAGAGTTGGAACAAAACGGGGTACAACACTAGCTCTGTCGCTGCTGGCATCTGTTAAACCAACGGCAGACTCTAAGCTGGGCTTTCAGGATCTGCAGCTCCAGGGATAATTTACCCAGTCTCCCACTAACTTTTCCTGTCTGTTTTTCTCTTATCTCTGCCCATATCCTCACTTCAGTATTTTGCCTAAATCCTGTGATTTCCTGTGTGTTTTTCTTTCTGAATGCCTAGCGGTCATCATCTCATCATGCAAATCCCTTAGCACAATGTCCTTCTCCCCTACAATCGTTAAGGAGAAAATACAACAAGTTTCCCTTTAGGTCTGGAAGCAGAATGGCCATCTTATGACACATGGGGTTTTCAAGAATTACGATGTGATTTTGGGGTTTTCTTTCATTACCAAAATCGTGCCTGACCTCCCTAAAGCCACAGAGTAGCAGCACTTGTTCTTGTAGCGTTTTAGCTCTATCCAGTGAGTCCCTGGGTGCTTATCATCAGGATTTGATGTATGTCTCCGACTTCAACCTCCTGCTGTTGTTTACACTTCCCATGTAAATGCTGTGGCTATCCGTATTGGAAATTTAGCCCAGGCAGGATGATGGGCTCTACCGTCACTGTGCTTGCACGGTGTGTAGTGGCGATGGGTGGAAACAGGGATAAACTCCTCTGTGACAAAGCAATTTCTTCTGTTGCTTTTCTTTTCTCTTTGCTAAAAAGTCCATGCTCGTTGCCAGACTCAGAAATATTTCCCTGTTACCTTTCTCTGGATCAGCCACATTTGTACTGAAGGGGTTTTATCTACTGATCTGCTTAGAAATTGAGGCAAAACTGTACCTAAAAGCTGTCTGAACACCAAGTGTCTAGGCTGAAGCCATTATCCACATTCCCTCAAAAGAAGTCGAGAGGAGACCCGTGGCACCTCACGGGTGGGGGAGGTCCTGCCTGTCGCTCTCCGTTGCCAAGAGGACAAGTCTTACGCTGGAAGTTTAACGTTGATTTGGGTGAGGTTAGGTGAGACAATCCCATCCCAGCTGTGCCCAGATGCTGAGTTAGTACCTGTTTAAGGTGTAGACAGAGATTTGTTTTTATTTTATTTTCTTTGCATGTTTTAGGGAAGACCTGCCCTCTCACTGCATGTATTCTGGTCGTCGTGCGATACGGGCCGTGTTCTTCCCTTTCCCAGTAAGGCAGCCCTGGCTTGTCATTGCACCGTTTTCTGTCTTGGCATCGTGATGTTTATTACTCTGGCATCGGCCATGCCTTCCAACAGCTTATTTTAACATCGTGACCCCAAACCAGAGCTGTCAGTGCTGGCAGATGACACGGGGTTTAGGCTGAGAACTGCTGGATGGGCAGGACCAAAGCGTCGTGAGCACCTAAATCCTGTTGAAATGACTGCACAGCAGCGAACTGCTGTGATGAAGCAGCACGGGAGGTGACACAGCAGTGAGTGAAGACTCAAGTCCAGGCCACCTGATACACTCCAGTGTTTGACAGGTTTACTGTGCCATCAAAGGCAAGTTACTGCATCAAACCTTCATCTCAATCCAGAAGTGCATAAATTACATAGAAGTCCTCAACACCAGTGGTTGAATTCCGGCTCCCAAGAGCTCTGTAAACCTGCCCTGCGCCTCTGCTGCCTGGTCACTGGGATATCCATGCAGGTACCTTCTGGTTCCTTCATAATGTCACAGAAGAAAGCTCCGCACTGTGGTTGCACTCATTAATACCAAGACTGTGAAATACAACATAATAAAGACCATCCCATTAAGTGCCTGCAGGTATTTGCACGATAAAACCCTGCCTGTGGAAATTTCTCTCATGAATCAGAAAGGAGAGCAGGGAGAGGAAGAAAAGTGCCCCACCAGACAGTAGGATTTCCCAACGTATTTGGGGTAATTTATTTATTGAGCAGATTTCCAATTTAAGCATCAGAGCTTTCCAGTTGAAACAAAGGCTGCTGCGACTGGTTTGCTGGCTCCAGCTGCATTCTAGTCCATGGTGGGTTGTAGCATGTCTTGGATTTGGATGTCTTTATTTTTTTGAATACCCAAATATTGACTACCTGTGTGAATACCAGAGATACGTAAACTCAATCTGGAGAACAGATCTTTCTTTAATCCATTGGACATCACTGATAATGTCAGTCTAGCTCCTTCCCAGCACTTGTGCAGCCCATGGGAGGAGGTCTTTGCGAGGGAGGGAGGTGCCCCAACTGCTGCTTTTCAGCTGGGAAGCACATATTAGAGTTCACAGCAAAATCTTGTAACTATTCTCTAGGGTCTGGGAACATGCGATCCCATTCCTGGGAGCTTTCCCGAGATAAGATCTGATTTTTTTTGTCACATCTTAATGATTAGCTCATCAAATCTGGCTGAAAACCTGGAGCATTAATCAGGGCTTAGCAAGACGGGGTGTCAGTTCTCTGTTCTATCACAGGCCTCAAATATGACTTAAACACGTTTCTCTTAATTCTCCACCTGCAAAATGAGCCTCATTGGCATGAGGGTGAGTTGAAGATTGAGATGGAGCGAGTGGGGACGTAGAGCTGCAGGACACTGCAGCTGTGGCAGCCTTAATGAGTATCTGGGGGTCCAGCAAGCTCAAGTAGGTTCATTTTCAGCTAAAAAAAATGTATAGTTCAAGTGACGGGAATGCATAAAGAGCCCGTTCTCACAATATGGTCAGCCTGGGCTTTCCAGGCTCACCAGGACTAAGTAATCCCAAAGCTCATCTGAGCCTGAACTGCAAAATTCAGGAGCCACCTGAGCCTAGGAACTGGCCGTGGGACTCCTTCGGCATAGAGACAAATCTCACTTTGGTTTATCCTTGCCTTTAAACAAAGATCAGTCAACTGTGGCTGATCGAGTCATTGCTAAATATAACCTAGCCGTTGCTTAAATGCACACAATTTTTTTCTTAAATGGCACAAACTGCCTTTTGGACTTTCTGGATGGAAACTTAAACCTCTAAGTGCATTATAGTATAAGAAACTGAATTAGCCTGACATTGTCTGCTAACCCTAGGCTTTAAGATGAATGGCTAAAAGCAGATTATTTATTTTTTCCTCAGCTGCTTTTGTGATTAGACTTAACGATGTTTTCTTTTCTTATCTGATGTTCTGAAGTCAAACGTTGCAGTGCTGCTGGCTCCCTTCAGCTCGCCTGTCGCGCAAGCTCGGCACAGATTTTTCTTCTTGTTCTTCCACCTCCACATTGTCCCTTCCCTCTCCAGCTGAGAGCCAGTTCTTGACAGTTCTTTTGTTTCGTGATGCATGCAATTAGTTTAACTCCTTGAAAATGCTTTTTAAAAGTACCTATCAGTGAGTGCAGAAGCTTTGAAATTAGCCTTTTGCAGAAGCACGGGGACCGCAAAAAGAAATTGGACTTTCGCTACTACTGTTTAATTAATGGGCTGCGTGTTGTAATTTATTGTTGGGAATATAATTAGAAGTAATGTAAACACTTTGTTCAAATAGCTCGATCGTTCTTTTACATATATATATAAAAAAACAAAAGGAGTTGCAATTCCTTTTGTGTGTTCAGCATCCAAAACCACACACAGCGGTGGCTGTGTTCATGTAGTGTCCTAAAATCTCCACTTCTCTCCTTCATACTGTGGCCCATCACATACGTGTTTAAATGCATTTCACAATTACGGAGCAGGTTCCTTGGCTGCAGCGAGCGAGGGCAAGGTGTAGGCTCCCCGCTGGCATTTTAATGACGCGAGGACAGCGGTGTCGCGGGTCCTGTTCCCTGCCACGCCGGGTAATGTTGGGATTTTGTTGGAAGTCCTCACTCTTTCTAAGTCCACCCCCACCCCATGCTACTGTCCGCTGTGGCTGCTGCCTATCTGCAGATGAGCAGCCCAGCGCAGAGAGAAGGTAATGCCCTACCGATCTGTCCCCTTCAGGGCAGGGCAGCTTGTAGTATATCTTGAGTTCTGTGCTCGCTGCTGGTGACTGCTCATCGGTTTAAGCTAAGCGTGTAGCAGATGGATGCAGTTAGGTGCGATGGACCCCATACCTGGCACTGAATTTGGATGAGATCTTGCCTTTTGCTTGCAGCACCTCTGTTGTAGCATCTATCAGTGGGGGAAAATTTTGGGGTTTTTCTATTGTTCTCCCTTCAGCTCTCCGTTCTCCCTGCTTTCATTCACTTCCAGGTCAAATCATTATCAGATTTCATGATGAAATATCTTTTTATCCTGTAATTATATTGAGCCTGCTCTTGGATTTTTTTCTTCCTGATGGCTTCATCTTTTAAGCGATACATCATGAAAACACCTTGCCGTAATGATGTATTACACTAATAATATAGTAATACCTCATTGGAGTGACAGAACTATGGTGATATATTAATGTGATAGAAAGCACTATAATACTATAAAACTTAAGATAATGTTCACCCAGCAGAGCATTTCATTTAATTATAGGATAAAATATGTTTTGCCCATTTAAGCATCAGAACTCAGGGACAAAACCATCAATACTGAGATCATCCGGGACACTGCAGTATCAAGGGTGACAAAGTAGCACATGAGATTAAATTGTGTTAAAAAGAAAATACTGTACGCTTTACTGGTGGTTGCTAATGGATGATCTGCTAGTGCAGAAAGGAAGCTAAACAACACTAAATTATTTTCCAATAGAGCCAATGAAGGTCATCAAGGCTTTTACTTCCCAGGTGCTAAGATGTCTAATTAACTTTCTCCCATCCCCGAGATGCAGCCAGCCAGAAACAATAATCAAAGAAGATGTATTGGTGGTGCAAGTTTGCCGATGGGAGACCAGCCCAAGCGATGCAGCGGGCCACGTGTGCGGCCCGTCCGCCCTCCTGGCGTCAGCAGGGGCTGCGGGTCCCCCCGGGGCAGAGCAGCCCCCCAGAGCCGTACCTGGAGGTGGGGGACTTTGCAAGATGCGGTTTTACCCAGGATGGCGTTTTGCCTGGCAAGGTGTTTGTAAGAGGCTGTGGGTGTGAATGCGCGTTTCTCTCTGGGGATGTGGCTTTGGGCCACTTACACTGATTAAGGGGTTTAAGACCTCATCAATATTAGCCACTTTTAAATGGGTGACTTGTTAATTTTTTCAAACTGTTTTTCTCTGGTCCTTCCTCTTGGTCTTTCCATTTGTTTCTTGTCCTGTGCCAGGCTGGGTAATTCCTTCAGGCATTTCCTCAGGCTGGCAGCTCCATGTTTGTCTTTTTCCTGCTGGATTGGCCGTATCCATCACCGTTCGTTCAGCTCTCGCCTGCCTTGGTCTGTTTTCTGGAGGCTGACAAACCTGCTTAACGGGCGACGAGACGTAGGACAGATCACTTTAAAGGAAAACATATTTTGAGGGCAAGTAGAGCAGAACTTAAACTCAGATGACTTCAGTGATTTGCCTTTCCACAAAGCCAGGAAAACATGGTTTTGGTACGTTAAATACCACTGGATTTAACTGGCTATACGACATGGGCTGTCATTAACTTCCTGTGACTGGACTGCACTTCGGCAAAACCTTCTTCTCCATCAATGAAATAATTTCCCTTGAAAAAAGACAAACTTCCATTATCTTTAAGCACCGTGATGACCGTATGAGGAAATCATTGGTGACTGCAAAGCAGCCATGGGATCTCCAAGGGAGTAGCCTTGTTCAGACACTTGCTGACGTAGGCATCATTTTTGGGGTGGTCGGCAATGCAAGAATCAAGAACAGGAGGCACAAGCCGTATGAAACTTTTGAGAGGAGAGGACTGATGTGGTTTAACAGGAGAACATTTGGTGGAAGAGCCTTCCCAGCTCCTGTGGGAAGAGCTCACCTGGCTGCGCTGTGAGGATGAGGAGGAGTGGGGAAGAGCACAGACTGTTCGGGTGGTGCCGGGTGGATCGGGGACACTCCTGGGCAAGACGGCAGGATTTACACAATCGCGTGGCTGAGACTCCCAAACACGGTGCCCAAAGGAGGAGCATGTTGAAATCCTGCTCATGGCAGGCCCTTCTTGTGCTCCCCTGAGCCAAGGAGTGCTGTTACCCCGGGGGTGTTTTGCACAGATGCTGAATATCCCTATGAGCACTTGCAGTATCGATCAGGCAGAAACCTGTCACTATTACGTCTTGTTCATTCGTCTTTCATATGTTGCCAAAGGGTAAGTTCTCATCAACTGCCTTTCCCAGAGATCGTCGGGGGCTGTGCTGGCCGTGTTGAAGCAGGCAACTTGGCTTGAAATGTTGAGTTGGATGAATTGCTGCAACCACTCAGAAGGTTTTAATAACAGCGGTAGGTGATATTAATAAAGCATTTGTAGGGCATCTTCTAAGGTAGGCTCAGGTCTTGCTCCTTCAAATGTTGGTCAATGCAGTACGTGGTGATGAGGAGTGGGGCCTCCCCTCTCTTCTCTTACCGGGCAAGTCCAGATAGAAAGTGCCGGCCAGGCTACAGCTGCGCTCCCCAGCTGCCCGTGGGGCCATCTCGAGCGTCGGCCTCTGCTCTGTGTTTTCTCCCCTTCTATCGCTCAAGAAAGACCCGTCGGCAGCAGGGTCGGAGCTTCGCTGCAGGACTCCCATTCACCCCAGTGCTTCACCCCCCGCTGTCACCTTGCGGTTGAGACCCCCGGCTGCCGCGGCGGGCTCGCTCTGCAAAGGAGCAAAATAACAACAGAAGAATTAAAGCATCAAAGGCAAAATATCCCGAAAGGTGAATGGGTGAGAGGAGGAGGAGGTGATGGTTGCGACTTTAAGCTCTGCAGGCTGCCCTCCTTTCCACCCCTGCTGCACCAGCGCAGCAGTTTGGAGGGGAAATTACAGTAAAGCTAAAGAGACATGTACTACATGTACTGTTCTGCACCATCTTGCAAAGGGCTTTGGGGGGCAGAAGAGCAGATCCTGCACCGGGGGGTGGGATGGGGCAGCTTTGCCCCACGCTAGCATCAGCTGTATGGTGTGGGCTGCTGCAGCTGAATCACCTGGGGGTGAATACCTTTGGAAATGGTCCTCGGTGAGGTGTAAAGTAGCAGAGATCTTGCTTTCGTACACAACACATTGGCTAGAAGTGTAACTCCACCAGCAGCTGGGAGCAAAGCGTGCCAGGCACCCATCCCAAGGCAGACGGGCAGCACGGGGGCCAGCCGGAGGATTCAGCACACCCATAACTGCAACCAGCACCACTGATGGAAGGCAAAATTGGCTTCAAGCACCATAACTGTATCTGTGGTTACTAGCTGGAGTCAGACCCTGTTACATTGTTTTAACTTGATTTTCAATGTTTAATTATTCTAACCGAGATAACCCAAACTCCCAGTGTGATTTACTGTCTCTTTTTAAGCATCTGGGTCACAGATATGCTCAGTTAATTAACGTGCTGAATACTCCTTATTTGTCTGCTAGATAATGGATTGATTCATAATTTAAATAAGCAGCTGTGTATATCTTTCCCTTGAACTATAAAAGGCAGGCCGCTGTCATTCATCTCTTTTCACTCCTGAATTTAAATATGTTTAGAGAAATATTTTGGTGGGATTCCTTAAACAGTGCAAATGGAGGAGCCCTTTGTGTGCGGCCCCGGCGCGGCAGCGGGGCTGTCTCGGTGCCATCTCGGTGCCGGCGGTGCGCTGCCTGCCCCACGCCCCCGAGAGCCATCGGCGCTGCCCGGTGCTCCCAGCCTGCACCCCCTTGGCAGCCGAGGCGGGTCCCTGGGTGGACCTGGCGGGCGGCTGACG